GTGAAGAGTTTGTGGCATGCTAATGAGATTTGGTATAAAATTGTTAAGAAGGCTTTGGTGAAGGTTGCGTTTTTGATTAGCACACCACATTTAAATTTTACAAAGAAACACAAAGAAGGAATAACAAGAGATTATTCAGTAATCAACAATAACATGTATTGAAAAACAAACGAGTACAACAATTGTGTTTGGTGAAACAAAGTTAAGAAAGAGGAAGTAGTTCCCCTTGTACTGATGTGAGATTGTAAATATGTGTTAAAAGAACTTTCTTGTTTAAAATGTTCACAATTCAGCAATATGTGATAACTGAGTTTAAGTATGAGAAAGTTGTACAAAAGAATGATAGAATTCTGAGTTGGTTACTTGGCTTTTTGGACAGACAGTTCACAGCATAGTTCAATTGTAATTTTGTGTCTGTGTGTGTGAGTAGAAGAATGAGAATTCACATACGTGGTTGAGCTCTGGAGATTTACTGTTCTACTACTGTTCTTGTCTTTGATTTTCGTGTTATTTATACTTTCTGAATAGGCTCCAGGAATGAGAGCAGGAAAAATATTGAAAGGAGTGTTATATTATATTATTGGTCAAAAATCAACCAATCACTTATTTTTTTCTAAACCAGGTTTGGCAAAGTAAACATCAGAAAATTTGATGTGGCTCATGCGATGCATAAATTGTCCTATAGAAAATAGTGCTTATTTTCTATCCAATGGCTATTGAGTATTTTGTGGGCATGGTGTATGTAAACAACCACTACAAGTTCATCCAAACAATTACCATGAAAGTAAATATAGAAAATGCACAGGGAAGTTATATTATGGTGGTGGGAAAGTGACTGAAGCCAAGATGTGAAGTTAGGACCAAGTCAAAACAGGATCAATTTCAGTCTACAATTGTGTTCAAATCTGGAATTTTGAGCCTGTCAGTCTGATATTGAGTTTTATTTGGTAGGGTTAGTAGTTCTTTGGTTAATTTATTTTACTTGAAAGAATACTTACTGGTTTATATTAAGTGGTCTACGTTAAGGATAGCAGAAGATATAAAAGTAATTTTGTTGCCACTGCCTGCACAACTAAGATAATTAAGAAGAGGTGGATTTCAATGTATTTTTCTGTTTAACATAGTGTTGTGCTGCTGAGAGTTAATACAACTCATGATAGGACAAAGCAAATGGAGAGGTGGATTCACACTTTTTCATAGGCAATAGTACAAAAGCATTATCGGCAATCCCAATATGAATTTAAATTGTTTTGATGCCATTTTCTGATGTCCACTATAGTATTTTGCACATCCATAATATAATAATAATAATAATGGTTGGCAGCTCATATCTGAATATGCTTGTCTACTAGGGCAGCTGTGTTTGTTTAACACTCACAGAGCCCGCCTGTGGTTTATACTACAAATATGTTGAGCAGACTTTAGTTAGTTTTCTTATTAATGCCATTTTTAATCTTTCAAAAGCTGTATTTTGCCTTTGAGTCCATTCAAATTCTGTATTCTTTTTCCATAATTCTGCAAAAGGTTCTATTAGGTCACTATATCTAGGTAGATGTTTGCTATAAAAATTGGTCAATCCCAAAAAGGATTCTAATTATTTTTTATTTTTTGGTGTAGTTGCATCTGATATTTTATTTATCAGTTTATTGTCTGGTGAAATTCCTTCTTTAGATATTTAGTATCCAAAATACGATATTTTATCATAATTTTACTCACATTTATCGCTATTTTTGTTATACCAGCATTTTTTAATCTGTTTAAAACTTGTTCAGTTTTTTTAAAATTCTTCATTACTGTAAGCACCTATGGCTATATTGTCTTGATATAGGATTATATTTTTTACCCGCTCTGATATAATTTTTTCAATTGCCTTTTGAAAAATATGGCTTGAAGTCTTAACTCCAAATGAAAGAAGAGTTCATCTTAGTAAGCTTATTGGGGTATTAATTGTAGTGACTTCTTTAAATTTTCTGTCAATTTCTATTTGGTTAAATGCTGATTTCAAGTCAATCTTGGCAAAGAATTTAATTCCTGCTAATTCATGACTTGCCATTTCTATGTTAGGTAAGGGATATTCATAATATAATAATAATGGTTGGCAACTAACATCTGAGTATATCTGTCTACTAGGGCAGCTAACCAATCCCTGTTGTAGATGCCTGCTCAAGGATGTTTGTGTTTGTTTAACACTCGGAGTCTGTCTGTGGTTTATACAGCAACTATGCTGAGCAGACTTTAGTTATAGTTTCTGGGAGAGAGCACATTATCTAGTGTAATCAACAGTCTAAACAAGGTCAGCAGGCTCAAAGCCTCAGTCACAATGACTTGTCACTTGTTGGTCATGTTGAAGCATTGATGACTCCCAAGTAGTACTGTCTACCCAATTTCACTCACAAGGCTTGAGTCAACCTGCAGTACTTTCTAGCAATGTCATATGCTGTGATCACCTCTCTAGGCCAATAGCATCAAGAAGTTACCTCCCTGATAAATCAACCATGGTGAGATTTGAACTCAGGTCTCATGGCCGGAAAGTGAATGTTCTAAACACTTGGCCACAACATGGCAACACATTTTTACAACTAAAATAATAGTTTAGTTGGATTTGTGAGAATATAATAAATTCTACATATCAGACAAATGGGGGGGGGGTGAAAATGAGAAAATGGAAAAATCTTATGTGATGCATTTTGTCCTTTGAAAGGACTTCAGATTAAATGATATTTTTATTAAAACAGGATCCTGATCAGAAGACTGAGTGACAGCACTTTACCAAACAATAGAAAATTTTCACCTTGAGAAGAAATTTCAATAAACTTAAATAACATCTAATGGTTAAATCCACTTTGGCAAGAAGGGAAGCAAGCCTGCTACTGCCACTGCTTAGAACATATCCCTTAAACAGGATGGTGAGTTCACTCCTAGGTAGGACCACAAAAGCAAGCACAGTTAACAGTTTTTATTAATGGGATCACATATATATACACACACATCGGGTGTAACAGAAAATTGTTCAAATTGTGTAACAGCATGGGATAATTGTCTATCCCACAAAGTCTAGTATCTAAAAAAAACACAAAACTAATTGAGTTTCTTTTTTCCAGGTTTTCAGATAAGACGTTTAACCATCTTGACATCATTTGTCGTAAAAATCACTGAAAAATCCTTTGAGTTATTCAGCTAGAAAGAGAACAGGTTAAAATCATTTTGTGTCAGACACACTACGTCTTCCCAACTGAGCAATCGTAAGAGGAAAAAGATCATTCAGGCCTTCAGTAATGGTACCAACATTCTTACTCTGGCTTCCATCTTCAAACTCCATTCAAGAATCATCAAGAGAACGGTGAATAAATTTTAAAAAGTGGGAACAGTAGAGAGGAAAACTGGATCAGGAGGTTATAACCCGAAGAGGGATCATCATTTCGACTTAGAGCTAAATACATTCTTATTGCTCAAAGTAGAGTCCAATAATGTTATAAAAACCTCAGAGAATTCCAGTAAGATATCTTTAATCATTTCTGAGATACAACAGTTTAAAGCTTAATCTAACAATTGGACAATTTTGGACACCGGTGTGTACATATATATATATATATATATATATATATATATATATATATATATATATATATATATATATATATATATATATATATATATATATATATATATATATATATATATATATATATATATATATATGAAATAAAATACAAATAAATGTCAGATATAATTTTTACATGGAGAGAAAACAAAAGCAATAAATACAAAAAAAAATGTAGTAGGAAGCTGAATGACTTTGGCAAAATTGTGCATCTCATTGGATGTCAGAAATTTTAAATATAACTTGAAAATTAAGTGTCCCTGAATCATTAGTGTTTCAACTTAGTTTTTATTTATATTTATTTCTGTAAACCTTTAAAAATATATGAATAGATAAAAATAAAAAGTGAGTTGAAATTAGTTCAAATCTAATTTCTATAATGATAGATGTAAACAAGTGTTCAGATGTTTAACATAAATTCCATTTCTTGTTTCACTAATGGATTATGTATACCTTAAAATAATAGATCAAAATAAAATTAGTTAAAATCTAATATCTGTAATGATACAGCCATATTATATATATATATATATATGTATAGATTTTATTTATTAATATGGCAAAGTAGTTAGAAGCTAAATGATTTTGGCAAGGATGTGCATCTTGAGGTACTGGATGCCAGAAACTTTATTATATTGGCCCACAGTGTGGAAAGGAAATTTTGGAAATATGGCAGGGTTTAAATATTCTCACCAATAAACCATAATTATTTCTGTTTATACATAACAGAGGTGTATCATCAATATGTCAACATGTAATATTAACAAGTTTAAACAAAGTCAAAAACTTTGAAAGAATGAGACAAGAACATCACGATGAACTTTGCACTTAAAATCTTCACATTTGAACACATTTGAAACTGATTTTGTTTCTGTGGTTTGCTGGCACAAAACAAGGCTGGACATGTCAGCCATGAATATATATATATATATATATATATATATATATATATATATCAAGTATGTGGTGCAGTTCAATTTACATTACATGAATCATTCATACAAAAGACAGACATAGAATTTAATGATTTAAATGGCGAGAATACATCTTCGCAACAAATTTAATAAAGTACATTAACCCCGAACCTGTATATGAATGTTATGATCCCTGTTTATAAATTCCAGTTGCATAAGGTCTTTTTTAGTTTTTTTAGCTTTATTTTTTCGGATTACATCTATATTTTCATTGTCCTGTTATTACCGAGAAGTAAAAAACTAAAAAAGACCTTATGCAACTGGAATTTATAAACAGGGATCATAACATTCATGCACAGGTTCGGGGTTAATGTACTTTATTAAATTTGTTTGCGAAGATGTATTCTTGCCATTTAAATCATTAACTTCTGTATCTGTTTTTTGTATGAATTATATATTCTAGTTCCACTAGATGATGGTTACTTATGGCCACATTACCTTGAAACACTGGTTCCCCATACAATCCCCAAAGTTAAGTAACATCAAGTCTGGTCAGTACCTAGATGGGTGACCACTTGGGAATATCAGGTGCTGTAAGCTTGGATGTGCAGGTGGTGTAATGGATAATGAAATTGTTAATTGGGGAACTGAGTTCCAATTCAATCTTGGCTCATTATATTCACTTACATGCAAATACCTTTGGGAAAGGTATGAAATCATCTCTTCTCTCCCCAGGCTGTGAGTTAATTAGTAAGACTTGGATTACTAAATCATTAGTATCTCAAAAAAAAAAAAAAAGAGAGAGAATTCTTACAATGTAAAAATATTTTCTGGCTTTATATAACCTGCAAAGGGTTGATAAGCCATAAAAAATGAATCAATCAATCAGATGATAGTCACCTCTGTCCTCAATATCATAGTCTGCAGCAATGAGAAATGTCCAAAAAACCATATGAGAACTCATTATATAGTTGTTTTTTTTTTTTACAGAACCATCAACCATTGTTTTTGATGGGAGAATCCATCCATCTGGCTTTTTGCTTTCCAGTCAAATTTGATGCTCAAAAATTTAAATGTAATGTCAATTGTCATGTGTCTTTTTAACCTTTTATTGTCTTTTCTCCCTAATGATTTTTTCTCAGATACTTTCAGATACACACTCAGTACCTCTTTGCATCTTAGTGGTTTTATTACCTTGCTTGGGGTGAAATGGTTAAAAAAATATATATATATGTAAGTCACACATGCATAACACAGGCATGCACATATACATTACATATAAACATGCAAAGTCATGCACAGAGAGAGTATGACAGACAGATAATAAGCTCTTTTATAATACAGAATTTTTTTTGCTCTGATTTGTATCTTCTCTTTTTTAATCATTTAACCGCAAACAAGGCAATAAAGCCACTAGGACACAATGGGTTACTGGCTATAAGAGAACAAAAAAACCCCAACAAACTTGGACTTTTGTGCCCACAAAAAAAAATGGAGTGTCAAAAGGACAGTTTTTCCCTTGACGCCGTTATCATTTTAACTACCTTCACTCCTTGGCAATGTTTATTGTTTTAAAAAGTGATGATTAAAATTGGAATAAAACCTAAAAATATGATGGAAGTGAATTTGTACATTTTTTGTTCTTGAGAATTTATAAGAAAAATATTAAACACTATTTGTTAGATTGTTTACTTACAAGATTAATTTTATATTTACAAAATTCTAAAAACTAACACAATTAGATTTAATGCAATATTTATCATTCACCAATTTATAAAGAAATAAATATGAAAACAATTTTTTATTTATTAACATTTACTAAATTATTAAAATATGTGAACCAACTATAATGAAATCCTTATTATTTACTATTTTATAAAGTTTGAATCAATTGGCAATTAGCCAATGTTTTGTTAACCATTCCAATAAATAATATAAAAATAAACAGTATAAATAAACAATCTAATAAATAAAGTGTATATTATTTTTGTTGTCAATTTTTAAGAACAAAAAATGTATAAATTCACTTTAATCATATGTTTAGGTTTTATTGCAATTCTAATAATCACTTTTTAAAACAATTCTTAAAATACATTTGTAAAATGCAATAGCAGAGGTCATCAGTGATGTTACCCTGGCTTCATTATGAATTTCTGGTATTGCCACATCAGATTCATTCTGCCAGGTACCCCAACCTGTTAATAGGCTGTTGCTCTGTATAATTCACTCCATGATGTGATTTTAATAATAACACCTTTATTATATCAGGTGGTAGATCTTACTTTTATAATGGCAATGAGATTTGCATTAGCCAATCAGAATTTGTTTGTCTGCTGTCTACAGGTATAAGATCAACGGCATGATTTGCATGTGCTTTCCAGTTTTGCTTTTCCTGCACATGCGTCAACCTTACCATGGAGTAAAGGTAGTTTAAATAGCAATGTTAAGGGGAAAACTGTTCTTTTGACACTACATTTTTTTGAATGAATGTCCAAGTTTGCCAAAAATAACACATTATTAAGGAGAGAGAACAATAAAAGGATAGAAATTAAGAAAACAGAAGACAATTATTTCCAAATCTCTTTTCCTTACTTTTACTTTTGATGTGAGGTTGAAGTTTAGCACTAGTCAGTCGCTAAGCTTGTCTTCATCCTATGTTATTCTCAGTGATGAGTTATATAGGCTTTCTCTTGCACTTATGCAAATTAGGCATATTAATTTGCCAGTATCACTACAACTTTTTTGGTCTAGTGTTTCTCAAGCTTGACAAGAATATGTGAATAGTAGTAGGGTCATCAAAAGAGGAAATAAATAGTCACATGTTACTTTCAAACAATGTGCTTATAAAACAGTCTATTACAGTACTTCTCTAATTAGACTAATTAAAAATGTATTCCAGTATAGTAATTTTTTAAAAAAAAATTTTTTAATGGATATTTCACACAGGTGTATCTTTTCGCACTGATTCTAATTTTCTCATCATTTTATCCTTTCAGGACGAGAAAAAGATGGATCCCAGACCACCTGGAGACCCACAGTATACACAGGTTCCAACCCAAGGACATAGCCCCAATCATATGCCTATGCCTCCACCACCACCATACCCAAATGAACCTCCTCCAAAATATGAACCCCCAAAGCAGACTTACCATCAACCACAAGATGCAAATTATTCTAATTCTCCAGGTAAGGATTATTTCTTACTTTTTTAAAGTTTACATAATACAAGGCTCGTGAGCCAGTCAAAGTAAAGGACTGCTGAATGTGGTGGATGATATGAATGTAAGAGATGGTAGAAAGCCAATTTTATGATGACAGATATTTGAATGATTTGAAGAGGTTAATATTGTGTGTGGTATTCAGGGAAGCACTCATGCAGGAGTAAGTTCTACAAAGTAGCAATTCTTGAGAAAAAGCTCTCAGAATGAAACTTCTTCCTTACAATTGGAATATGGGGGAATAAGTATAAGTCCAATTAACTTCCTTTTGAAATAAAAGTGGTTCCAGCTATATTTCAACAAGTGATAGATACTATACTTGAAGATTGTGATTTCACAGTTTCTTATCTGGATGATATATTAATTAAAAGTGTATCTAAGGAACAACATATCGGGCATGTGAAAAGAGTTTTGACAAAAATGGTCATCAACCAGATCCGTCGAGGGCAAGTGCAATTAAGAATATACCTTCTCCAATGAATGTTACTATATTACAACATTTCTGGGATTAACAAACTATTATCAAATCTATATACCTAATATGCAGAATTTGAGAGCTCCACTGAACAATTTGCTTAAAAAAAGTGTAAAGTAGAATTGAACTGATAAGTATCAGAAGGTGTTTGAAGAAATCAAGAAAATACTGACATTTTTATTATTAGTGCACTATGATGTGATTAGGAGGCACGGTGGAGTAATGGATAGCGGCTTGGATTGAGAAATTGGAGAGCTGAGTTTGAATTCCAGTCAAATCCATTACATTCACTTACATGCTAATACCCTTGGGAAAGGTGTGAATCCTCCTATCCCTCCAGCTATGGATAAATAGCAGGACAGACTGGGTTCTATAGCCTTGGATGGCAACTGGTCTAGGAGAAGGAAAACTCTGAATTCAAAACCTGTGGAGGGCCGTTTGGGGACCTTGTGGCACGTAGTGCACGAGGTCTCTGTAATCGGCCCTTCAAAAAGTGCACGAAACCTTCACCACTATAATTAAATCATGTGCTATACATGCGGGTTGGGGACCGCTTGTGAATTCCAAATTCCCATGAAACTCCAATATTGGAGCTAGCTCAATCCACCCCAAGTGAATGCTGTTACAGGTGAGGTACAGGTATGATGTGAAAGCAGAAATCATATTGGCTTCAGATGCTAGTGACTATGGTATAGGTGCAGTAATTCTACATTTATGTAGATTAAATTTGACCTGATTTTGTCCGTTTTGAGTCCTAGAGAAAATGGGACTGAGTTCTAAACTAAAGTAAAAGATGCATAAGACTTTTAGATATGATTTTGGATAAAATAAACCTGTGTCATATATATATACAGGATTACAGTATTTCTGTGTTGCATGATCCATGGATTTTTATGTACAAAGCTATGTTCTTTAGAATATTCCTCCAGTAACTTTCTGTTGAAGGTAACCCAGATATAATTCACAAATTTATTTGGCCAAGGCTAGGAAAAATGAAATAGACCATAAATCGATAAATAATCATACTTATTATAAAACCCAGGTTGTGTGTGTGTGTGTGTCTGTTTGTTTATATATTGGATCGGATTTCCTACATTTTTCAACCGATTTCAACAAAACTTCACTTTTTTTTGGCAGGTAGTGTTTTTTATTGTCTTGCACACTTTTTCATTATTTTTACATTCAGAATGCTTTAAATATTCCATTTACAAGACAATTGTTTATAATAAAATTCTATTCAATCGGTAGACTCATAACGATTGAAAACAATGTTTTTGTTTGAGTTTGGGTTTGACCAATTCGTAAAAAAAAACAAAAAAAATAAACAAAAAAAAAACTAATTAAGACATGTGTGTCTGTCAACCTTAAACAATCTTTGTCAATTTTATTTTTCAGTCTTTATGATAGTTGATGATTGATCTATCTCTTACTATTACATCCCGGGCTCTACTGCTAGTACAGTATATGGAGAAGAGAGCTCCTTCTTCAACTTCCAGATTTCTTGTTACATACTTCAATTCCAAATACTGACTTCTTGATCACAGATTGGTTATTACCTGGTGAAGTATTGTAACTTAGAAAAGGTTACTGAATAAGAATAACCAAAATGAAGGTTGGAAATGGAACAGTAATCTTTATAACATTAACAATATACAGGAGTTGCCAGTAGTCAGTAATCCACTGATAGTGGTTGCAGAATATTGGTTAGCTTACAAGTGGTCTGACACTCAAGTAGACTGGTGTAATCCCCAGTTAAAGCTAATTCTGAGTCTTATGCAAATGTGTTGGGCAGGTCCATTCTAGCAAGATGGACCAACCCACCTGCTGCATTAGGCTCTCTCCTATAAAATGAGGTAAAATTAGCTGGCTTGCTTTTTCAGAAGGCAGCCATGTTAGCAGGTGTCACTTCTACAGTAGTGAATCCCCCAACAGTATGTTCCACTGTATTTATAAGGATTGGAACACATCCATGAAGATATATCTTCTGATATCGCCTCTGCTGGTGGGTCACATGTTCAGAATGTGTCCCACTTGACTCCCATGTATCATCCTGTTTGGAGAAGTTGCCAGTGGCAAGAGGCTATGCAGGAGCCAAAAATGACACTTTAAGCTGAAGACATCCCTGACACAGTCCAACATCGACCCTGAGATCTGGGAAACTTGGCCTTCCTGGTGTAGGACCTTCTGAGTGTGGATTGAGACTTTTGAGTCTACCTGTCAATATGAAGAGGATCTGCAATGCACTGTCATGAGGGATTGACTCGCTCAGCAGCATCCACCACCCACACTCCTCTGTGACTCCTGCTCACAATTCTTCAGGAGTAGGCTGGGCCTTCACAGCCATCATCACCACCACCACCAGAGGGGAGAAAGTAAATAAGGAGACAGGATGATCCCAATGCTCAGATGCAAGCAGATGCCAACTAGTCTGTATGTATCCTCTCAGACCTAAACATACAATGCTATACAGGGGTTTCTTAACCTATGACAGAGTTTCATTCCTACAATGTGTCATAACGTGATTTTCTGTGTAAGTCAGAACATACCTGCAATTTTCTGTGAATAAGCACTTATGTCACTCGCCTATCCTAACACAATAGTAAAGTTATAATCTAAGACATAACAACACATTTCTATGACATATCTTAACATAATTAAAACTAAAAAAAACACCTGCAGGACATAAATATGATACATATAATGAAATGAAATTGTTTTAAGCTGCTTGTATATATATTGCCTGTTTTGTCATTTGCTCTTTGCAGATGAATGACAAAACATAAGATCTTGTTTTCTCTTGCAGTACATGGAACCAGCAACAAATCTGGGAAAGAAAAACAAGTGTATTCTTCTACCACATTGTTTGCATTGTATGTATGAGGTGAACAGCTTAAGTCGAAGCAAGATTAATAGAGATTGTGTTGTATCCATGAATCATTATATTTTGGGACTGTCATAACCTGGGGTCTTACAATACACACCTCTAAATTCTGAATAGTTTTTTTCTATTTGAAATCTACTTTATTCAATCAGGAATAGTAGTAGACACTCTGTTTTACTTTAAGCTGATTTTAATATCAACATTTTCCTAATTTCTACTTCTTTTTATTTTGTTTTCTAGGTTGTTACCAACAGCCATATTATCCCACAACGTCAGATTCCTACCAACATGGATCTACTGTTATGTCTCAGCCGGTTTTTGTGGTACATCAAATGGGGTTTGGGCCTAACCCTCGTAACATAACGTGTCCATTCTGCCATGTCTATGTGCAAACAGCAACAGAATACCAAACTGGGGCATTAACATGGCTTGTATCTGGACTTCTCTGCTTATTTGGGTAAATGGAAAACTTTTTTTTTAATTTTTTTCTCTTCTGAAAATTACTTTTGAAAAAAGATTAATATTTTTCTGAGTTTACTATGGATGGTTGACTCAGGTAGGTGTTTCAGGTAGGTATTTTACTGACTAACATTTTGGAAAACTAAGAAAAAGAAAATACTTTCAATTAGAGTTACTAGAAATGATTTTGATGAACACAAAGACATCCATAATGATACAGTTATGAACACTTGCTTTTTTAAATTTCTGCTAACAAGAGTAAATCTTTGACTGGAATTTCAGTAATGCTATCTGTGCTCATTCAAGATTCATTGATTTGTTTTTTATGACTTATCAACCTTTCGTGTATTATTTAAAGCCAAAACATATTTCAGATTGTAGGAAGTTGCTTACACTACCCAGTATTCCCAAGCAATTGATCATTCAAGACTAAAGATCAAACTATTACATTCATATTGACACCAAACAAGGGAATATACAAATCTGAATGCATAGTGTTTATATTTAATTTCTGAATGACCACAGGTATAAATCTCTTTATATTCCATACAGTTATGGGTTAACTGGCAAGGTAGATTTGCCTCTCTAGCCTTGGTTGGCAACCAGTCTAAAAGAACAATTTTTTATGTACCGTGTCTCCTCAGGACGTAGGTGATCATGGTCCTCCACAAATTCCTTAACTCTTAATAAATCTTGTCTTCTTGCTATTTCTCGTAAACCCTGTTCTGCCATTCATTTAGTCAAGCTCATCAAGTATGTTATGCACTGTTTCCTTCTGTCCCTCAATCTGTCCTGTGAGTATCAAATTTTCCAAGCCCTCCTTCCTCATTACATGCCCCAGAAATTTCAACTGTCTTGTCCTGATGTTAAGTATAATAAAATTTCCTCCTTGTTTCCATTTTTTCTAAAACCTTGTCATTGCTCTCATTTGGTCTATAGTACCCTCAGTATCCCTTCTGTAGAAACACATTTCTGTTGCTTCAAGTCTCTTCATCTTTGAGGCAATTGTCCAACATTCACTGCCATATAGGAGGGCTGATATTATGTAACAGTTCAGTACTCTTTTCTTTGTTTCCAACAAAGTTTTTCTGTCTCTTAATACTCTGCTTAACTTTTGGAATGCATCTTTAGCTATCCCAATATGTCTTTGCATTTCAGTCTCACACTTTCTGTCCTTTGTTAGAACACTTCCCTGATATTGGCTGGCTCTCTACTTATAAAAAACTTGTTACAAAATCCATAAAAGTAACACCTAGTGTGGTGAAACTGTGATCCTATTCTTCACAGGAGAGTAGCACTAACAAAAAAAAAAAAAAAAAAAAAAAAAAAAAGAAGGAATTACCACAGATACTACCCCTGAAAGTTCACTGTCAACATTTACAGCTTGTTAGTAAAAATTAAATTGGTTTCTAGATAAGTAGCTCATTTCCTTTGTTTGTATATGAGTGTATAAATAAAGACAAAAGGAAAATTTGCTTTGATAAAGTTCATCTGAGAACAAAGCATATCAACTAGGATAAGTTTTGCTTCTGTCTTTAGTCATTTTGTACTTTTACAGATATATTTTAGTTATATCTGAAATTTTATATATATTATATATTAGGTTGTCACACATGAAAAGATACATTTTTTGGTTGCTTGGTTGGTTGATCTGGTTGTCTAACGAAGTAAGCTCCTTAGTATATGAAAAAACTTTGACATTCCTGACTTTTTCTTTCCAAATAATTTTTCTTTCAATATATTGTTACTCATAAGCCCAATGAAATTGATTACAATAAAACAATGTCAAGTAATCTTACTGTATGAGTACAAACTGGGAAAAAGAACTAGTTTTGCATCAAATCATTACATGCAATGATAAATGGATACTCTTTGACAACAGTAAGAGAGTAAGCTAGTAGCTAAATGCAAGTGAATCACCAAAATAATACCCCAAACCTCCACTGCACATTAAAAAGTTAATGGTTACTGTATGGTGATCTTTCAAAGGAGTTATTCATTATTCATTCTTGCCTCAAAGGAAAACAATAATAGGAACCTTGTATTGTGGAGAAATTGAGTGTATGTATAAAAAATTGAAAAAGAAACATGCTAGACTTGTGAATAGGGATGGCCCAATTTTGGTGCATGACAATGCATGTCCACATGCTTCTCAATCAACTGTCCAAAAGCTGCATAACCTGAATTATGAAATTTTGTCTCATCCTCCATATTCATCTGATATATCAATGCTGAACTGGTTTGTCATCTCTCATCACAGGACCTTTTCTCAGACAAGCAACATGGCTTTCATTTCTCGAGATCAACTACTGCTGCACTAATGATAATTGTGGAAAGAGTCTATCATGCTCTAGATAAAAACAGTGAAGCCTGAGCTGTAGCATTGGACATCTCAAAAGCCTTTGACAGTGTCTGGCATTGAGGTCTTCTCCCAAAGCTGAAAAGTTATGATATTTCTATGCATGTTTTTGAGCTGATCCAGTCATTTCTATCAAATCATGAAATGAAAGTTGTCCTGAATGGCAACTCATCTACAACCTTTTGTACTAATGCAGATGTTCCACAGAGCTCCATCCTTGGTTCTACACTGTTTACAATCTTCATTAATGACCTCTTTGATAATATCAGCTCTCAACTTGGCATCTATGCTGATGACACTACCAAAATCTCCTGTCTCGATAGTAAGGCTGATCGGTCAGACAAGGTCAAAATGGCAGCCAATGTACAAAATGACCTCAAGACTGTCGTTAACTGGAATAAAAGATCAATTTTAACACCTCCAAAACTAAACTGCTCTCCGTTAATCATCAAAACCTGGTTAACATGCCTTGGAAAGATTCTGTAAGTGTTGCTTATATGCCATCCTCAAAATTCATTGAATGTCAGAGACATTGGAAACAGATGTTTTAAAGTTGGTTGGCATGCCCAGCATTGAGACAGAAATCCATAAGCAAAAGTTATGTTGGATGAATCATTTGGTTAAGCGCAAACCAAAATAACTACTGTATGGACAGCTAAAGGCCAAAACATAGAGGAAAAGCATGCTTTAAGGATTCAATAGACAAATCATACACAGTTTTTAAAATCTATCAGGATAATTGGGAGAGTGATATTATTGACTCATTAAACTGGAAGAAATATTTATGAGAGAGCAAAGCACTTTGAAGAAAATAGGTGCAGTTATGCAAAAGTGAAAATGGCTACAAGAAAGAGACTGCTGATGGTTGATGAGAATAAATTTATTGTGTGTAATATTTATAGCCATATTTGTAATAAAGTATGTAGAAATAGGTCTTGATTGGTTAGACATATAAAATCTTACAATGTTGACATACAATCCAATAAGCAATCAAAACTATACTTTTTTTGTATCATATCTGCATAAAAAAAGTGTAAATCCATTTCAGTGCTTAAGAGTTGGTTGTAGATCAAACAATTTATAGGTCATTTGTACATATTTCACATATTTTATCTATTTTATTCAAATTTATTACTCTCTAATCTAATTCATATTTAATTTTAATTTTTTAGCCTAATATTTCAATTTCTACAGAATAATTTATTTTGCATAAAGATTTAATATATAGATAAATTCAAATAAATAAACTTGTGGTCATAGTATCTCAGCACAGGAATTTCATTCACCATCTTCTTAACCTTCTCAAAAGCCTCCTTGCATGTCTGAGATCAAGGCCATGGGATGTCTGTCTTTATAAGATGGCAAATTGGAGACATCACCTTGGAGATATGTGATAGGAATTTTGCACAGTAGTTCACAAACCTCCTAACTATTGAATTCCTTTCACATCTGTTGAACGAGCCATCTTCCTAATGGCTTTTATCTTCACTGAATCAAAGTATAACACTTCACTGGTTATTATATGCTCCATGAAAGACGCAGTTTGTTGCAAGTTCACTTTGTAGGGGTTTTGATGTATTCCCCATTCTTGGCATCTCTGCAAGAGTCTCTTGAGCTTTCCTTCATGGTCAGCTGTGGCTTCTTCCATAGTTTTTCCTCTCCCAAACACCTGAATATCATCAGTCTTTTTTAACACTCCCTCCAGATAAGAGATGTTATCAAATACGGCCTTCTGAAAGATTTTGCGTGCTGGAGTAATTCCAAATGGTAACACTTTCCACCTATACTGGCCAAATGGAGTAGTGAATGTAATCAGACAACTGCTTTCCTAATCAGGCCTCAGATGCCAAAATCCATCTTTCAGATCCAGGGTGGAAAACATTTTACTGTCTGCAAGTTCGGGCAAACGATCTTCAAAAACACAGGTAACTGAAAATGTTGCCTTTTTAGAGCCTTGTTTAGCAGCTTTGGGTCTATACAGACCCACAGGTTCTTGCTAACCCATGCTATTGGTTCATTATCTGGCTCAATGACCTTTTTTCTACTTGCCTCTCCATCTATGCTTTCAATTCCCACTTGACAGCTACTGAAACCCTCTGTGCTACTGCAATATGTGGTGTTATATTTGGGTCCACCTCCAAATGTACCACACCAGGTAGTTGACTAAGCTTTTCCTCAAATGTGTCCTCAGATTCCTGGAGAACTGGATCCAACTATTGTGTGTTCACCCTCTTTTCCTGTGAGACTCTAGCCACCATCTGGAACTCCTCCTTGTTCACACTGACCAGGCCCATTTTTGTAAGGTCATTGCACCTAAAAGTGAATGCAAATCATTCCTCAGAATCACAAAATTTGTAGCATACTTCTTTCCATCTTTTGTTACACATGGCAAGGGTCTTATCAGATGCCTTCAGATTTCTCTGAACATGTTTGATACTTAGCACCAAAGCTCCACTATCAAGCTGAAACAAAATTATTTTATCTTTCAACAACATTTCAACCCAAATTGTCCTGTGGGCCAGACTGCTTTCCTCTCAGTCACAGCTATATCCATGTGCTCAAAGTCTGACTGACTACTACTATTATCTCCACTAAGTTGCTGTGTGCACACTGCCCGAACCAGCTTCTTTATTGACATG